CCATTCACCTTGGGTAATTAAACAGTGGGGTTGCGAGCAGTACTCCGATATTGGTCACATGATGGGAGAGTTGAGACGAGTTGCGACCTCGTCGGATCAGGTAGGTAAGCTGCGTTTGAGCGTACAACGCATGCACAGCCAGTTACGAGATAGCCTGTTCGAGTTCCAAACGGAATTCACATCACAACGGAGGAATATACCTAGGTCACTCACAGAAGGCGTGGAATGTAGCAGCTGGCCGTAGAGAGTGTAATTCTGGTTGTGTAACTACCCTACCGCAGGCTCATGAATACCGACTTGCATGGGTTGATCGGAAGGTGGACGTCTGCAGACCACAGGGAAAGCACGCTCACTTAACACAACTTGAAAGGTGTGGGTTTTCTCCCACGCGATCGACTTGTTGACTTGGAGCAGGCCGACGATACTACTCTAACCTGTGACATCTCACAAACGTGTCAATCAGCATTGGAATGATGGGTACTGGCTGTCAACTATTTCGTGTTGTGCTACGCGCCCCCTCCAGCTGCAAGTCTTTCTTCCAACATGGGCAAAGACCACAACCTGCACCGACCCTTAGGAGCGGATCAGCTAGGAGTTATTCAAATATTCAAGCATCTTGGCAAGGCCTGAGGAATTAAAGATGAAGTGATAAACTGCACATCACCCTCTCCCTGAAGGGTGGAGTGTAAAATGCAGCCGTACGTTCGACCCTATATCAGAATCAAAAGACAGTTAGGCGAACAAGTTTGTTTTCGGTGGTTCTCATCAGGCCATTACACCACAGATAATAGGAATAAAACAGACAAAGTGTATTTAAATACGATGAATCAATAAAAGGAAGTGACCGGTCAATGCGATAGGTGACGACACTGGTTTGGGCATCATTAGTGGAAGGGTCAAGCGTGGTGTCATAACATGGGGACGTTTGAGGCCATGGCAGCTGTAGACCTTGTACAAATTTCTTTTGAGCACATCATTCGGGATTATGGAGTCGAATAGCGATTGCTTCCACTGTCGCCAATAGGCGACATCGGAGGGCTCGCGTGTGACGTCCAGATATCTTGTAGATAGGTCGGAAGGCCTCTCGCATATTCCCTTGGTGATTTGTGTCAACCAAATGCCCCAGGACCGCGCTGACTACTGTCTTTCTGACACCAGTGTAGAGCCACGCCGGGCAGTGTTCTCAGACTCTCTCAGACACTCTCCTGGTCGTGCACTAAAAACATTCAGTTTCAGTTCAATGAGACGTTTTACAGACAAATAGACGGGGTAGCTATGGGTTCACCATTAGGACCACTACTCGCCGAGGTCTTCATGAGTAAGTTGGAGAACACCCAGCTGGACGAATGTATCAACAACTTGGTTTACTACGGTCGATACGTAGATGACATATGTTGTGTTGCGGACGGTCGAGTATGCATCGAAGATCTGCTAGCCCACTTCAACGCTGCACATAACAACATAGTGTTTACCATAGAACTTGAAAGTAACAACTCATTGTCATTCTTAGACGTCCATATCACCAGGACATCAGACGGGACAGTACAGAGGAGAGTACATAGAAAGACAACTTGGACCGGCCAGTATACCCATTTCGCCAGTTTCGTTCCAATGAGTCAAAAACGCAACCTTGTCCGTTGTCTAACGGAAAAAGCGAGGAAAATTTGCACGGAAGATACGCTGTCAGATGAATTGAGTTTCATTCGAAGCGTTCTCGAACAAAATGGTTATCCGGACAAATTCATCCGGAGACACATGGAGCCACGAGCACCAAAAGTCCAACCAATCACCGCTGAAAAGCGCTTAATCTACTTATCACTGCCTTTCAAAGGTGATGTGATAGCAGAACGAACTACTCGAAGGCTCTGCAATGCAACAGCGAGAACCTACTTTGTACCTGACCTCTGCGTCAGCTTCACTTCTACGCCAGTCGTGAGCCAGCATCTCAAGGACAGATTGCCGAGGTCGAATATTTCCTTCTGTGCGTACCATTTTTCTTGCTCGTATCGAGCAAGTTACATTGGAAAGACGACCAGGAGACTGTCTGAGAGAGTCCAAGAACATTGCCAGGCATGGCTCTACACTGGTGTCAGAAAGACAGTAGTCAGCGCGGTCCCGGGGCATTTGGTTGACACAAATCACCAAGGGAATATGCGAGAGGCCTTCCGACCTATCTACAAGATATCTGGACGTCACACGCGAGTCCTCCGATGTCGCCTATTGGCGACAGTGGAAGCAATCGCTATTCGACTCCATAATCCCGAATGATGTGCTCAAAAGAAGTTTGTACAAGGTCTACAGCTGCCATGGCCTCAAACGTCCCCATGTTATGACACCACGCTTGACCCTTCCAATAACGATGCCCAAACCAGTGTCGTCACCTATCGCATTGACCGGTCACTCCCTTTTATTGATTCATCGTATTTAAATACACTTTGTCTGTTTTATTCCTATTATCTGTGGTGTAATGGCCTGATGAGAACCACCGAAAACAAGCTTGTTCGCCTAACTGTCTTTTGTTTCTGATGTCATCTCAGGGATTATTTTCTCAGTTGAAACGACCCTATATCCCTCGCACTGAAGAGCAGTCTACAAGGCAACCGCCCGTTCAGCCCTCCTATACGGTTGTGAAACCTGGCCTATCAGAGCGACAGACGTAAAGAAGCTAGTTGCCTTCGATCACAGGTACCTACGCAGTTTGGTATATATTTGATGGGAAATGAGCGTGTTAGACGTCTCGTATTGGGTGCAGAATGAGCAAGCGAACCGCTCAACATCATTAGTTCAGTAACTGGAGAATTCCCATTTCATTATCAAGAACAATAGACCGAAGGTAAACAATTGTTTTCGATGATTCATCTTCAGACCTGTACAATCATATGGGTGAAATAGCAATGGGCAAGTACAAGTGGGTTAACGATCAGTTCAAATGAGATTGATCACGTGTCGACCAAAGACATGAACCAGTAACAAACAGCAAACTAGGGCTGAGGTACCGTTGCACAATTGCAGTTGCTGTCCGAAGGATCCGTTTTGGCTGGCCAAGGCAGCATAACAGCTTCGATCAGCTTCTTCTGTGCACACAAAAGCGGTTGGTACAACCGAATGCTGATCGCCTCGGCAGTAGCAAGGGTGCGGAGGCGCAGACATTTCGACTGGAGTGGAGGGACCCTGTACAGTATTCGAAAGGCACTGATTGGGTCAACCACATGCCCACTATCAACCAGATGAGCCATAACTGAGCTAGTTATAGCTCCAGTACCGCCTCGACGCAACCAGCGTGGTAGGTGCTCCTTAATGCGTTTCGACAGTTGATGCGCCGTTCGACCGATGTAAGTAGCGCCACAAGCGCACTTGAACTGATAAATTACCATAGACGCGGTCAGCGTCGGTAACTTGTCTTTGTTGTAAATACGGATGAGTGGCTCCGTGGAAAAGGTACACCTAAGCTTGGCTGCTGGAAAAGTTGACTTGACAGCTGTTGAAAGGCTTCTAGTTACACGCTCAGCAGCGGCGTCTCCCTTGAAGGGTAGTCGTATGAAAAGTTCTTTTTTTCTCTTCTGTCTGAACCTGTAACTGGTCGGGCTTACTTTGCATGTTCCTAAAAATGAAACGTTCAGGATATCCGTTTTCGCGCAGCAAATTCTGAATGAGCGTCAACTCATTATCCAACTTGTCTTTAGAACAGATCCTGTGGGCCCTTGTGGTTAGACAGCGAATTAGGTTTCGCTTATATCTCAACGGAACGAAACTGTGAAAGTTCGTATACCGGCCACTCCAGATTTTCTTCATGTAGACCTGCCGTTGGCCAGCCAAAACGGATCCTTCGGACAGCAACTGCAATTGTGCAACTGTACCTCAGCCCTAGTTTGCTGTTTGTTACTGGTTCATGCCTTTGGTCGACACGTGACCAATCTCATTTGAACTGATCGTTAACCCACTTGTACTTGCCCATTGCTATTTCACCCATATGATTGTACAGGTCTGAAAATGAATCATCGAAAACATTTGTTTACCTTCGGTCTTTCGTTCTTGATCATTAGTTCACGCGAAGGCTTGGTCATGGGTTATGCATACCAGCACACCGATTGCTGCGATGTGCGTCATGCGCGACCGCCCTGTGGATGTAAGAAGAAGAGGGCGCCAACCGATGACCTGGTCAAGAGTGCTGAAGGTCTTCGCTTTGAAACTGGCCTCGATTGAGGTCTTTCGGCTTCTTGGTTGGGGTCCAAAGAATGATGAAACAACGCTTAGTTGGAGAAACGTGTCGAAATAGCGACAAACCTATTTTTCGGTCACGTGCATTGTTTCTTTGTCTCTCCCTGACTTGATAGGAAACTGCCTTCCTGCGTTACTGAGTGGACAGTTACATAGATTGGTGAACTAGCTTTTGTTGGCATTTTTGTCTTTATAGGTGGACAACTGGCAATTTCTCATGAAGCGTAGTCTGCCTTTCACTTTGGTATGTTCCGCGCCGCGCCGCGCAGTGCTTCAGTTTGCTGTTATCCCTCTGTTTACCGATATGTAGCTTGTTGCTTGTTCAGGTATCTCCCGTATTGCTTAGTGCGATTGTAGCTGTCGGAGATTCTCATCCGTGTCGTACACAGCAAAACTGTTTCAGCCAATGGCAAATACCCAAGGGCAAACGTGAAGCATAGTGAATAACCAATCAGAATAAAGCTAGCTACATCAAACGTCTATAAACGCAGAAATACCTAGCGATATACATTCCCGTAGCTACCCTTTACTAGTTTCTGCTACGAAACCGCTAACTGTGCAGCATTAATGATAACACTAAGATTGGTGACGAAATGTACTCAATCGAATTGCCCAACTAGGCCAATATCGCAAGAAATGAATAATCAACCCGAGCTACAAGTATTTCGCCGCATGTCAAATACAGATGCGGGAAAGAGGATTCGTAGCTAAAGTCAAAGTGCGAAAGGGGGAGAGCGTCACTATTCATCCAAAAAAACAAAGATTCCCACACGTTGACTCACGAAAGGTAATCGCTCACACTTGGTTGTGGTTGACTTTCGTGTCTTTCAGACAACAGTGTAGAATTGTGCTCCGTGGGTCGTTTTGGAATCGTTTCATTTGTGTCTGGTCTGGTATGTGACGGGGTGTGGTGCTCTGTGACTCGGCTAGGTACGCTCAGCGAGTACCCTCCAGCAGGCGCAATATTCATGAGAAGAACGTGATCTTTGGCGTTGCCGGGGGTCGAAAATGGCGAATGAAGTATCTTTTCGGAACCGGTGTACACGTTGAATTGTAACTATGAAGGATAAGGAAAAGAGACTTCACTTAGCCTGTGCTCAGATGAAGCAAGAACTAGACAGCATCAGTTTAAGATGCGGAGTTTCCAATTTAAATAGCAAGTGGCGGGAATGAAAGCTGGAAAGCAGGAGGAACAGAAAGCTGGGACATTCATCGGTGACCAGAGAGACAAGAGAAGAACTTCTGTTGGTGGATCGAGTAATGAACTCCATCGTTCCGTGCGTCACTCACCCTAAGCAGTAAAATAAGCACTATCGAAAGTATGTTTTACAGTGGGTAATGCAAGCTACATTCAGCCCACATTGCATCTTAGATAGATGGGCCGATCACCGAGCGGATAAGGCGCCTGGCTTGTAATTCACCTGTAGCCGGTTAGATCCTATATAGGTGCGGAAGGTCTAGCAGTCTCGTTTTACTTGAATTTTAGTGGTCGTGTGGTAAAGAAATTCAGTGCGACGGATTGCTACTAACCACTGCCTTGACTTCGTGGTACTTCAATGAAAACGCTTCCTTGTTAACTAATTCAAAGTTACCTTCGTATTAGAAAATAGGTTTTCATGTGAGTTTCGGTCCGGTTCAAGGAACAAATGCATCCATGCGAACATCGCGGTTGCCGTGACCGTGAATCCTGGTGGTCTAAACAGGCCAGGGAAATGGAAGTTGCTGCCTCTGCTGGTAATAGCCGCAGGTTGTTTTATCTCATCAGATCTACCGGACGCAAAGTTCAGGCCATCAGTCAGACCGTCTGAGTCAGACGGTACAAAGATCACCAACCTACGCAGACGCTTGGCAGAGCACTTTGCTCTACAGTTTAATTGTCCAACACAACCTCCGGGTAAACATCCAGTGTCATCATGTGATCTTTGGTCAGTCTACAGAGATCCTCCCACTGAAGCAGAGAAATCCAGACTGTGAAACGCCACAAAACTCCTGGCCTGGACAGTCTTTCTCCGGCCTCATTCAAAAATGGGGGAACTTAGTTGTCACCGAAATTCCATCACTGTTCACAAAGTTATGGAGCGATGAGAAGGTTCCTAACGCATGGGGATAATCGGTTGCAGTTCCGATCCACAAGAAAGGTTCCCGTAGTGAATGCACCAACTACGGAGGAATCTCACTTATCCCTGTCACGTCCAAGCTCTTTTTGTCCATTCTGCTATGTAGGCTCTCAGTTACCAGCGAGAGTTTCTGTTGTACGGAACAGGCTGGCTTTCGTTCTGGTTGCATTGACCAAATTTTCACGTTGCGTCAAATTCTCGAACATCCTCATGTCCACCGAAGACCAAAAATGGTGGTGTTTTTGGATATCCGAGTCGCTTTTGATTCAGTACATAGGTCGTCACTGTGGAACTGACTGCTACGGAACGGCATCCCCGACAAGTTTGTCATACTCTTAAAAGAGCTGTATAGTCACACCTCTGCCAAAGTTAAAGTTTATGGAAGGCTTTCTTCTTCCTTTCCCGTTACCAGTGGAGTGCGCCAAGGTTGTCATATCGCGCCGTTCCTGTTCAACTTTGCCACTGAAGATGTCCTACATCGCGCATTGGAAGGAGCCTAGAGCTGCGGCGTTGAGTTTCTACCCAGGAGTACAGCCGTGGAGCTGGACCATGCTGATGATATCGCTTTGCTGAGGGACGACTCGCAAATTGTTAAAAACATGCTGAACCGCTTAGCGATAGACATCCAACTACGGTCCGTATGTTGCGCCATCCAAGCGTACAGCTTTGCTCCAGGATTTGCAGGCTCCTGTGCTTACGCTCACCATTTCGGGTGTCAGACTGGAGTTCGTTAACAGCTTTACTTACCTTAGGAGTTGCATTACGGCTGGTGGCGGTATTGACGATGAAATTTCACAACGAACTGCCAAAGCTCGCCTTGCATTTACTAACCTGAGACACTTGTGGCGTCGTCGCGATGTCGGTCTCAAACTCAAAGATCGAGTGTACAATGTCACAGTCCGTGCAGTCCTACTGTATGGTAGCGAGACCTAGCCTGTTCAATCGGAAGATTTGAGACGCCTATCTACTTTCGACAAACGCTGCTTGCTTTCGATTGCTCGCGTATGGTGGAAGCACCATGTGATCAATTCGGAAGTTAAAAGTAGAATCATGGGAGCGGACAGTTCTGGTTTCCAGAGCATAATTATCCAGCGCGTACTGCGCATGCCGGCCCACCACCTACCACGTCGCACATTATTTGCACTTCCTGGACGCAAACAGAAAAAGAGTCGAGGCGGACAAACGATGAGCTGGAAAAGGAGTACGAAGATCCTACCTTCGTGTCTAGCGTCAGTTGGAAATGTGCGTGTTCCAGGCTGGGGATCACGTGAAGCGGGTTCTCAATGGTTGGAAGTCTTTGAGGATATGGCCCGCAATAGGAGTCGGTGGCGTCAATGCCGTTCTACCATCTCTACAGCCTTTGCTCTTTAATATTAAACAAAACATGTAAACAGAAAAATAAACTCAAAACGACGTGTGTGAAACTGAAAAAAAAACATTTTTTGTAACGTTTTACACTCTCCTCGTTGAACATTATACTGTTCACAGACTTGTGAATAAATAATAATAATATATATACTATCGCGGTTAACGTCATACCGAGGGGGGGAGTAAAACCAATGTCTTCGTAATCACCTAAGATGAGTAGGATAGGTCCTCTTTTTGACAGCACGACAGACCCCAGGAAGATGCAAAATTAAGACAAACAGATCAGACGAACATTCGGTCAGGAGAGGAGAGAAATCACAGCAACAAGGACGATTATGTGTCAATTGCGTCCCATAAAATACTAAAATCTCGTAGGGCTCGAGTCACTTGTGAACCGACTCGTCGAATACCAGACTAAACAATGTCCTAATTCCTGTAGGTCGATGACTCATCTGAGTCTGCCAAACCGCTGGGAAATGGTTAATTTCGCTTGGCAGCGAATCTCTCCATTCATTTGGGGTCCGTTTCAACCGGGGTTTTGGTTACATGTTCCTTGGCGTTTTCTCGTTGGGTATTATCTCTATATCTTTGTTATTTAACGTTCTGGTCACAAGTCGTTGCGGTCTAGTCCAGTGCATTCTGGATTCACAGTAGAACCCAATGAGATGTGGATGCATCAGATATGGTGTTCCGTCTACGCTGTCCTACCGGTGGGTTGCCAATTTTTGGTCAAATACAGCGTGATCCCTAGTTCCCAATCGACAAAGTAAGAATATCGTCCAAAGCACAACAGTGGTGTTGTTATTTCGGAAACATCGTAACGGAGTCAGTATTCGTACATGTCTTCTAATGATATTTAGACAGTACCGCGCCTCTGGCTACTACCCTGACTCACGTGTACTGAATAAAGCCCTTGTCCAGAAACAGCCGAGTCCAATGTGTTGGTTAGTCAGAACATGGCCAACGAATAAGGGTTTTCGTTTGTTTTTCCAACTACGTACTTCGGCAGCAGACGTTTCGTCACCAAGCCAGATAATATCATCAGCAAGAATTCAAGGGAGCTAGGAGAAAAGCGGACATCCTCATTCGCACACCGAATTACAAGCATTCCGAACAGTAGCTGACACTTTGAACTGGGTCCAAAAAGAGGCTACTTCACTGCAGGATATGGGTTGTGTAAACAACTCATCTCTTTAGTAGTTAAACGCAGCAATATTGGTCAAATGAGCAAGTATTACGCATAGCGCTCCTACAGATACATCAAGCGGCACAGGAGTGGTAGGCACGGCTAAAAGTTTGTGATCTAACAGACACAATCCAGACTGGAACAACAGGCTCTCGCAGTGGACAGTTAGAATGATGGGCACTAAAGACACAAGTGGGGATATCGCAAGCCCATGTACATAGCTGAAGCTCGTCATCATCATTCATCATTATACACGCTAGTTGCAGGTAGAAAACATCTCAGCCATGGTGCCACAATACAAAAGAAAAGAAAAATCAGAAACACAGGCACGCCGACTGAGTCACCACTTACGGGTGGACATCGCTCCGGAGAGCTAACAACCAGCTATTGTGCCACAAAGTCATTTAATGCCTATTAATTGAGACCGTGGTTGGAGGAGGAGGAGGAGGCTAAGCGGTGGATGGACAAAAGAACTCACAACACAAACGCTATTGAGGTCTGCTCCTAGCCATGTCAACAAGTGTATGCAACCAAACGTGTTCGTGTTTCGGTCCCCAACCAAGGAGCCGAGAGGCTCCGACCGAGGCCAACCTCGAAGTAAGGGCCTTGATTCCTCTGGACCAAGTCATCGCTTGGCCACCTCTCCTCTTCTTCCATCCGCATCCCCGGCGCACAAACAAAGCACGTCGCGGAAGTCGGTGGACTGGCATGCGGAACACGTGGCCGAGCCATCGGAGTTTGGTGCGTGAAGTAAACATAGCTGAAGCTAAGGAAAATCAGACGAGTAACACATATATTGTCTAAAAAGCCCTGTAGCAACTAACGAGTTTTTCTATCCGATCGTTCGAGATCTCAGCGTTAGCGGTGGCGACTCCGTCAGGACCAAGGTTGACCCAGTCTACTTCAAAGCATGAGGGTCGGTCAGCCACAGCTCCGTAAAACACGAGGAACATGGACGTGTCTGAAGACAATACGGTTGAATCCATGGGCCGACATTGTGAGCACTGTTGACTGAGTAGAAAGCGAAGACAGACTGCCCAGACACGTGGATCCATCACAGAAGTCATCCCGGAAACCCAGCTGGAAGGGAGGAAAGAGATGTTCAAGCAGAGTTGAAGTCGATGGACTTGTTTTAGAGAGGAGAGATATAGCGTATATTTAGTTCCCTATCAAATCTCAAAAAACTGACTGTGACGACATGAAAACAACGCTGCGCAATGCAGGAAACAATTGTGTAGATATTTTTAAAAAATCCACAGAAGCCATCAGTTCAAAGTCTGAGCTCTGGGTCATTTCGTTCGGGAAAAACACGGGTTCGCAGGCAGCAATAGTGCGTGTGCTTCAAATACGAAGTGCAAAAACTGCACTTTGGTAAGAACTGTTGCAAAGGAAAATCTATGGTCACCCCATGCAAAACACCTCACCCCGAATGGCAAATGGTGGAACAATTTTTTGTCAAACGTGGTATGCTCCTTCTTAGGCGCAAATACAAGTGTTTCATAGCGGTACGATCCACCTAGTCGATTATACTAGATTATACGACGATAGACAATAGTAGGTGGATGACGTAACAGGAACTCGGTTTGAGTATTTACCAGTACAAAGAAGACCGATTCTAGTGAAGCCCTTACTGGTGGCGAGCCGACACTGGACTACCTGACTCGAAACGCAAAACAAGTTGCCTGCACGCGGTCTCATTGTGAGCGGTCCACTCATTGAACTCGCGTCTGTTTCGGATAACGAATAATTTGGCTAATAACACCGGTTGCAGTCCTCCTCCTTGAAAAATGTGCGGTAATTTTCGGTGCACACATGGACGAGAAAATGGTGATTCCACTCAACCAGGAGCCCATCAAGTGAGGATAGTGAACTGAAGAGGCCAGAGGCGCTCACTTGCCTCGCCATTCACGACACAACGGTGGGTGAGGTTAGGGAGGCGATGGCATTATGTGCGTCACAAGGACAATGGTGTTTTAGCAGTGTGCCTTACTGGTGCTGCTTTTATGCTTCAGTTGTCAAAAGCCGGTAAGAAATCATCCGCAGGAGATGGAATTCTGGTCACAAATATGATCTTGTCCCATGCCAGATTTTATTAGGAAGCAAAAACAAAAATTCGTGACCAGGAGACAAAGATGTGTTTCAGCAGAAAATATCGAATGGTATAGGCAACCTGAAAAGTCAGAGTAAGTTAAGTTTGGTCAGCTCCCAAAAATAGTAGGTAAAACCGCCTAAACCAATGAGGAGGTAGTCGCGTGATGGAACCAAATATGAATGAAACGATTTGATATACCCATTGAACATCATTTGTCCAATTCCTTTTCTTACTGAAGTAATGGTTTTTTCCGAAAGGTTCATGTCCAAAAGTATCAGAAACCTTTCAGGACAAAAACAGCATTTTACTCTCCGCAAGATCGATTGATCAGCATAGAATTGCTGGAAATTGTTCCGCCTAAGTTACTCATGAAGGAAATTCGAGTAGGCGAATGTCAGTTTCGTTTCGGAGCTGACCTAACTTCACCAGACCTATAAATCGCAGTGATCCCTTCAAGCAATTTACACTGTGTTTTCTAGCCGTTCTGGTTAATAAACCGTTCCGCCAGTCTTTAACCTATAATTTTCTAAATTGAGATTGGAGTTTTTTAATCTAAAGCAAGTAGGAGTAAGCAACAGTCTATGCGCCATTGAAAAACTGGCCCAAGGTAACTTCATATGCGTATAACAAAAGTTCCCCCTGGCTACTATAAGCGCATTTACAAATGAGCGTATTCTGATAAGGTTCAGATCCTCTATCGGCACTTCTCACCTCTGGATTACTTAAAAGGCTGGTTTACGGCTCGATAGTTCATCCCATCAAAGGGAAGATACCGAAACCGATCAGGTGCTCTTGAGTCAACGCCGACACTACCAGAAGTTGAGCCAATTGCTGAAACAGATACGCAAAACTGCGTTCTTATATGCGGATGACATCGAGATAGTCGACTCGTGCAACAAGCATGTTTCATGCGAAGCACTACAGCATAGTCTAGAATCCTGACATCTCTTCTTGAAAGTGACAATCACTACGGATAAATGTAAAATCCATATGTCATCGTCTCAAACTCAAAATTTCTGATGAACAGCTCACGCAATGCACCACTCTGGATCTGTACGTGCGGTAGTCGGTAATGTTTATGTTGAACCGTGTGTCGAATAACAAACGAACAACTTGCCTACCCGCCATTCGTGACGTGGGGGCTGTGACTACCAGCGAATCTTGTTGATTTGTGTGCGGAGGTCCGATAAAAGGGTTACTGTTACGGTAGGAGTATCGACGCAGTTCACCAAGCACCTAAGGAAATGCTTCACTGAGTCCTGTGCGCATTGTTGAAAAGAGGCTGGTATCGATAGACGAGTCAGCGTTTCGATCGGTGCAGTTAGCCGCAGTTTGCATTGCATTTGATACCAGCTAAACATTAGTCATTTGCACTGAGATCACCGAGTGAGCAATAACAACGCGCACTAGTTTAATGTTGGTAAGCAAGTTCTTCTCAGCAATTGGCAAAATCCCTTAGACGAAGTCGCACTACTTCGAGCGGCCAAGTGTCATGTCTGTCGTTTGGAACCAGTCGCCTACAATTGGTCCGGAAAACTCAGGAAAAAGCATGATAGAAAATGTGAACCAATATAGAGCGTGAGCCCCTTGTGAATGGGATCCATCGTTAAAAGGAGCGTCTAACATTCGACCATATTTAGGGTACAGTGGGACAGATTCAAAGTACAACAAATGAACAGTCTTTCGGTCCAAGACTCTCATTGCCTGAATCTCAAAGCCTGGAAGTGACCAACATTTGCAGGTTTCATAACCATTGGCCAACCATGTCCAACATATAGTGCAGTTACGACCGACGAACACGTTTCTGAGTATGGATAAGATAACGTTTCTTCCAAGCTATCAGATGAAGCATCACTGACACCACGAAAGACGCTACTAGCAATTATAATCACACGAAGTAAAATCCGATAAGTATAGGTACCGTAGTAAGCTGGAGTATAATAAATTTGCTTAACCACCGAGAAAATGAGGCAGAAGCAGCAGCTGCCAAACGACCGATCCTTGATGAGAGAAAAAAATTAGTAAAGTGAGCAAAACTCACATTCCGACCAACTGGGTGGACATCACCGAAGGATCCGAGTCTAAATGTAGATTGAACTGTCCGCTTTTTGTCAGAGCGACGTAGCTGGAAGAGAAGGTGGACGAAAAAGACTCGGTGACAAGCTTGAATGGGTTGTAACGGTTGGTGATTCGAAAAAAGACGACAGGGCATCTCAATCCACGTGGTACATTGTGGTAGCTCAGTTTGCATGCAGGAGCCCGATCCGTGTTCCCACGGTAGTAGAGGGAGGCAGAGGAAGCGAAGCGAAACGAACGAAATGAAAAATTGTCAAACAGAATAGGATCGAAAAAAGCAGACTTTTTCCATGGCACAATAGAACTAAGCGTGAAACCGAACGCAGCAGCGTCGCTGAATTCAAAGTGCGATACTGCCGCTTTCGAGGCTACCGTGTAGGACGCCAATAAACAATTACGCGGCATGGTTCGTCATTAAGTGTCCTCAACTGAAAGTGTATGTGTTAAGTCCTAGCAAAATCAGAAAACAAGGTTGAAAGTCTGGAAGTCTTGTACTACTGGAAGATGACAATGCGCACACAAAGTAGAGCTGAGCAAAATGTGGGAATAAACTGAGATGGACCACACAGACGAGCAGTTTCCACAACTTCGCCAATCAATAGCCATGGCATGCGAACCGATGTAAAACGAACTACGCATTCACACACCTGCGCAGCGGAAGTCTGGTTATTGGTGAGTCAACAGGTTCCACAGGTTCGTAGGTGACTCATATATGGCAACTCATTCTATCTCGGCTTCCAGCCCGCAGGTCTACCTATAAATAAGAAACCAAGATTTGGTTCTTTGTCCACAAACCGTCCCTGAGAGCATCGTTGTCATAGCGAGTCACCGATGTTTGACGGAACGGGTGGAGAAGGACACACTAGAACGGAAGGCATTAGGAGCAGAGTGCGTACCACACACAACGTGTGTTTCAACCATTAGCAACAGCATCAGTAGTATGTAGTCATATTTCGCTGTTATACAACTAAAAGTGCTACTAACAATGACTAAATGAGAGGAGAAAGAGATTTGATGTGAGATACAAGTGCAAACAAACGCTCAAGAGCAAAGTTGCATACTTTTTCAACAACGCGACGATACAAACAGCTGGCTAGCGGGTGAGGTTAATACGACTGGATCAGTAAGGCAGCTTGTTTGCGGTTTTAACCGACCGATGTCGGAATGAGCCTTATCCAACGCACAATTCAACCTCTTAAATGGGTCGGCCGAATGCAAACGAGACACTGGTAACAATCGACATCAGAAACAGTGGTTTGATTGTGCATACGTTGACTATGCATCATGCACGTATTGTCATACACGTCCTTGGAATGTGCTCAAAAGTTACATACACACAAACACAACATAGGCATCAAGTGAGTCAGGCTAGTGTAATACCCTCTAACCAACATTTTCTTGCATCAGATAGCATGAATATGAGAAGTAAACGTTGACCATTGACAGTTTGGAAAAACCGAGATGTCCCAACCAGCGCGAGTCATGTCTTGTGAGACCTCAAACGAAACAAGAGAAGTGTGGCGCGGAGGACGAGACGGACCGGCAATACCAAGTATACCCATCACTTCGAACTTGACATGGCTGATGTTTCCCGACTACCGGGCTGGAGACCCAAGGATGATGAACACGTTCGGTTGGATACACTGGCTGGCAAGACGAAGAGACAACCTCAGTGGCGTTTGTGTTGTGAATCTCTTTGTCCTTCTCATCCCCTTTAACTCCCCCCTCCAGCAACGATCTCAAATCCTATGCATAATGTGATATTTAGCAACACGTTACTTTCTAGATAATACTTTAGTCTGTATTGTTTAATCTCCTATCTATTTGGTATTGTGGCACATTAGCTGAGGAGTGTTTATCACGTGGATTGATGATGACGGTAGTGAGTACCAAGTATGGTCGCTAGTGATCCCATTCTATATGGTCACTCCACTGAAGCGTAATCTTATACGCGAGGAAGAAGAAAGACATCGGCGCTGCGTTGGTACGTTGTAGCGATGCTTTGTTGCCATTCGACCACTAGCATGCGCTCGTCCACTGGGTATGCTGGAAGATCACCCACATATTCTACGCAGATTCGAACCAGTGATCTTTGGATTACAAGGTAGGCGGTCTAACCTTTCGACCATCGGCTGACAATCCTATATCCCGTAGACAAAACAAAGTAATGCAAGATAGGCTGTATGTATACATACAAAAATGTGCCCAATGCAACGCAACTTATGGATGTAAAGAACTGACCAGACAATCGTAGCTCAGTGTTCGCATATGGCTCAGTCGCTGAGGACACATAGACACCGCATGATAAGAGAATGCTTCGGATGTCACGATGAGCAAACATTTGAGGGCACCTCGAGAAATTAGTACAATGTAGCAATATCTTAAGGTAGCTGAGTAGGCAGTCCTTATCATGGCCCCGTAAAAATAGGATTTAAGAGTAAAGCAGCAGACATGCCGTAAATTCCGAGGATCAGTTCGAGCTTATACAAATGTGTGAGATAATCTCATCAGTCGTACACACATCCCCTCTGACGACGCGGCCAGGACAGGGGAATGACCCAACCATCTCTTAATCCATCTCGTCAAAGATCAAACAACTAGGAAACGGATGGTAGTATTGCAAAGGCACTTTGCATCTTGAAGTTGCAAAGCGTAGTGTTAAGAATGGAAGGGCCCTTTCCCATAGTTCGTCGACGATCGAGTGTACCAGTGCGATTATCAATACGACGCCGCCCGAATAACCTATATCAAAAAATATTTCTACCTCCGTGGTAACTCTACGCAGACGCTACCTGTGTTCGAAACACAAAAACGCACCAGTACCATGCGAGCGATAAACACGTTACTCAAACGCAAATCGGTGAGACGTTTGGTCTGAGAACAATCACTGAACGAGAAAACGCAAACACGTAGGGCAAGCGAGTAACGGGAGGACGGGAAGACAGGTGGGAGATTGACCCTGTGTGGCAATGGAATGGATGTCTTTTGATACCTGGAGGAAAAGCCGAAAATCGGTGTAAATATCATGAACGAGTGTGATCACATTTTACCAGGAGAGCCCATCGTCCCGTGCGGCGGCTGTGAACATTAAGGTATACCGAAGTTATCGAACGTGTAAACGAAAGTACATAAGTTAAAAGATGACCTTCGCACTTGTTAGGCTGTTGCTGAAATACATTAAAGAGATGATACTATGGTTACAGATCCCCAGCTCAGTCAAGCTCCCCAAATCAAAAGATCTCGCAAACAAAAAACTATATGAGCGGGGGAAGTTACAGTACTATTGCAATTGTGACTTGTAGTACATCATTTTTGGATCCATATGTACACTCTGGTAGGACACTATCATTATATGGCTCTAATAGAAAGATTGAGCAACCAGTTTCGCAGATCTTTTTATGGCAGAAATTGTGTGAGCCTGCAATTCGCTCCAAATGGATAAATTTGAAGGCAATGCATTCATACCTGTCAATTCTGACCATCAAACAGTCCCTCCATAATTGGACCCAGGATAACTGACTCAAAGCGCCGTTAATTCTAGATCGTAAGTAAAATATCTGAACAAAATGAGAAAGGAGTCTGAGTGGGAGCGGCACAATGTACCCAGTGATTCTGTGCTGTGCCGCGAGGACAGTGAAGATGGCTGAATCTGAGGAGACGTAACGAATAAAGAAATGTAAAGCTGTCGAAAATGGTCTGAATGACTGAAGGGAGAAAACAGAGAGTAAAGAAACCGAGCTGCGTAAGACTGGAAGGTAAACTAATAGAATACTTGACCACAGATTGGCGTCGTAAATTGTATGATACAGTTTACGACAAAACCTGTTTCGACAATGCGATCCGATATCCAACATTCCAAATTCGGTTCGTGATTGTCATATATATATATATATATATATATATATATATATATATATATATATATATGGTTGGCGGCATCCGGTTTCGGATTTGCCTGTCACTGTGGCCAGCCACAGGACGCCTGCGCCTACAGAGGGACCATGGGTGGCTTGCGCTGCACCACCCACAGCTCCAACCACACACCCCATATCCAGTGTAAACCCGAAGGAATAAGACCGGGAGGCATGCGGATGGGAGCCACGTCTCATCAACGGAGCCGGCCCACACTCCTTCACAGGCGAACACAAGCACGCTGTACTTGGGGAATCAATCGCACACAATGCGGTGGTTGGACCGCAGTCCGCTCCACACTGAGTGCATGGAACCACTCTTCGAGCCTAACACGGCCACAAGGACTGTGCACCACGTCCCCTCCAGCAACGACCAACTGTCTCCTGGAGCCAGTATAAACGAGGTAGTGGATAATAGACAGGTAGGCACCTTGTCAACATGCACATCAAGCGCATCCACACCGGAGATATCAAACAACAGCCAATCACTTGAGAGAAAGATAACCAAGGAGATAAATCGAGTAATGCATTAAGAAACGGTGACATAACTCTTACATTAGTGGGCATATGAAATAAGTTGTTTACCAACGTATACGAGGTAAGTTCGCGAGGTCAGGAAGTTTATTTTACGGAAATGTCACAAACACGAAAATGTTATCGAAAAAACTACAAGTCGCTTAAGCAACGTGTGCAAGTGTATAGAACAGAGTATAAGTAGGCATTTATATGGGAAAGAAAAGCATTAGGACAAATTTGAAAACCCACCACCTGAAATAAATAGACTTAGCATGCAAGCACGCGGTTAGTAAATCGAATGCAGCGTACCTACAAACGCTGCGCCGGTTCTGTCTACGTTCTCTGCAGCACCCATCGTCGCTTCGGTAGTGGTCCCGAGTGGCCTCGCTCATGGTTCACTAAACCTGTCTGACTCAGGCACTCGCGACCGCATGTGCTACAGCACCATGCACTCTATGTCGATGGAGTACAACCCATCGATGCTTGCCGCTTCCGCAATTGCCGCGTCGTGTCTGCATGGATGAAGTCATTCTCCCGCACTTCGGACACTGCCTTCATGATTAGATTGCGCCAGGCACACCGATCAACCGCCTTCAGCTCCCATGATGTGCAATCAAGATTAGAATGTGAGAGGCTCACTTTGATCATGTCCTAGTAACGTAACTTTGGTTTCCCCACATGCCACTTCCCAATACTCAGCTGACCGTATAAGAGTTGTTTCGGTATCCGCGTTGAATCCATACGCCACATATGACCGAGCCACCTCAGGTGTCTCAGTAAAAGTATGCAGTCCACTGCATACATCCCACTTTGTCGCAACACTTCCGTGTCTGCAACTCTGTCGTCCCAACTGATGCGCAAAAATTCGTCACAGACACTGCTGATGAAACCGCTCCATATATCGCACATCCCGCCGGTACATAGTCCACGTTTCACTGCCGTATAGAAGAACGGACAGCACCATGGATTTGTACACCA